AAAATAAACAAATAAAAGAGTAAATCCTGGTATAAAGTAAGTGCTCAGTAGATGTTAGCCATTGTCATTATATTTCTTGTAGTCTAAGTTAGGGGTAAATGTTCATCTTCATCATCTTTACAAGAAGCTCGAGAATTAAATTCAATAATGTCGGGAAAGCCCATGACATAATGCTTCACACATAATAGGCCCTCAAAACATTTGTTGAACGTTAAATAATGAATAGCCCTGCATTTGTGACTTGGGAAGAGGAAGGGCTCAGTGAGGGACGGAGGTCAGGGAGAGAGGCTTCCTAAGAGTCTGTCTTTGCTTTGGGCTATAGGTCCCCTATATTCCCAAACATTCATTGAGCACTTCTGTATGCTTTCCACAGCAAGTCAAAGATGTGTGAGAGTCTTCCAGGAGCTGGCAGGCTTAGAGTTCTCTCAACACCTTCTTACTCACTTGGATGCTAAATATTGAAAAGTAATTGTATTAAGCAAACGTAAACTAGGTGATTATATACTTTACCACATTCCCTAAACTAAACTCAACAATGTTCACACAGTTCTAGCTACTGAGAAGGACACATGTGCAAACACAGGCTTGGATTATCTCAAACTAATCTGTTCTATGTTTATGATGGGCTAAAGTGTTAACTTCTTATGATTCTCAAGAAATCCCAAGAAAAATGTGCTATTTCTGGCACATGTTAGTTACTCTCCCCAGGATAAGCTGCCCCACTTAAACAGCGAGGCCACATTTCCTGCCTTGCCTACATCCCTGGCTACTGAAGGATAAAACAAGACTCTTGATTTGGATGTCCTCTGTGTATAATGGGGCGTTGCTGTGCACATATAAGGGTCCTTTCGCATCAGTCTTCTGGTTGGTGTATGGCATAAGGATTTGGAGAATGTCATGGAACCCCATTGTAGGAAATACATCTAAACATACCAAGATTACTTTCCTGCTTCACTTTGAGTAAAAAAAAAAAAAGATGAAAATAAAAATAAACATACCAAGTCACAGGTGACTGCTATCTCCTCTTCATTACTCTCTAGGAGTGCATGGTCTTCCAGCCAATTAGAATTAGGTTCTGCTGTAAGTGGTAGAAGCCCCAAAAAAACAGCAGCTTGAAGAAGGTAAAAGTTTGCTTTTCTCTCCAATGAAAGTAGGGGTAGGCAGTCTAGGACTGCTTCATCAGAGACCTGCTCCTTTTCATGCCACTCTCAACATGTGGCTACCGCGTCATGGCTCAAGATGGCTGCTTCAGTTTGAGCCACCCGTCTTCATTCCAGCCGGCAGGAAGGAGAAAAGAGAGTAGGGTATACCCCTCCCATTAAAGATCCTTCCTAGAAGTTGCACAAGACATTTCTGTTTATATTCCAGAACACAGTCACTTGGCCACGCTCAGCTGGAAGAAAGTTTTGAATTCATGATCTTTATACCATGCGTCTTGCTAAAACTCAGAGCCTCTATCGTTGAAGAAGAAGGGGTGAACATTGGGGAACAACGAGCAGTCCCTGCCAGGCTTTCATCTCTCCTTCTCCCCGTAAATTGATTCTTTTTCCTTCTCTGAAGACCAGCCTTCTCGTTCATAGTCTCTGATCCCTCACACTTTTCAGAGTGGCCATGAGGGATGCCAGCTCTTAGCCCAACTCCACAGGTCTTTTCAGTTCCTAAGCAGTACACTGTGTAGCCAGCTCAGCCCCTGTGTCTCAATTCCAAATTCCTGGGAGAGAACATTTGATTGGTCCTGCTTGGGTCAGGTGATCACATCCTCAGCTCTGAGCCAATCATCGGTGGCCAGGGGCATGGGAGGCTTTCTCTTCTAGGATGGGATGGTACAGGTTCTCCAAGAAAGACAGGTAAGTAGGAGGAAGTGATGGGCATCTCTGGTAAGCTTCCTTCTGAGCTTACCCCTATTACAACATGCATCCCACTAGATGCAGTTGTCTGTTTGCTTGGCCTTAGGGTAGGGATGCATTTTGTTCATATCTTTAACCCAGAGCCTAGCAGTTATTGCCTGGCACACTCACTATTTGATGTAAAATAAATAATCCAATTTAGGCCTTAGTTTTACCAAGGTTGAATGCTTGCCCAAATTTACATAGTAAAAAAAAGCATCGGGAGCAACATGGCCCCAGGACTCCTGACTCCCAATCCCTGGAGTAATTTCCCCAAATTACTCAGCTAGTTATAGCTTGTCAACCCTCTTGTTCAGCACTTGTCTCTGCTTGCACCCCTGCTCCAGGAGGGCCCCAGACTGGAGGACATTGGATGCACCACTCAGAATCCATTTCCTGCTCAGCCTTTCTGCCAAGGCCAGTGTCTCCCCATAGCTCCAGGCTGGGCCCCTCTGGAGAGATCCCATCCTGACTAGGCCTTGGCCTGAGCTCTGGATGCAGGGGCCACTCAAGGAGGGGGGCTGAGTAATGATGCAAAGGTGGGAATCAAGATCTCCATGGCCACCCACCGTGAGACACTCTCACAGGAGGACTCAGCCATAGAAAAGAGCTAATGTCTCCCCCTCCACCATTTTCCTACTCCTGAGCCCCCAAGACCTTTCCCCTGCCTTTTCCCCATTCCCTTATGCCTCACTTTGTCAGTTCTCTCATGCCACCTGTCCCCACAGGCCTCAAACCCTCTGTGGCAATCCCGGGGTTCCACCACTGTGTCTTCAGGAGGCCGTTTCCGCTGCCCGTCTTGCAGGCATGAGGTTGTCCTAGACCGACATGGTGTCTACGGCCTGCAGCGAAACCTGTTAGTGGAGAACATTATCGACATTTACAAGCAAGAGTCATCCAGGTGAGCTGTCAGGGCCTCTTGACTCTTTAAGCGGCAGTGCCTGGGACACGGCCAAGGAGCTCATCAGGGCCAGGAGGGAGGGACTGAAAAAATAACCTGCCTCTTCAGTTTAGAGCTGAGAGGACTAGACCAGAGAGGGGAGGGAATTACCCCAGGTCACCCAGAGAGCACAGTCGGATTCCCTGGCCAGTACTTCGCCTTAACCCCCTCCTCCTGGGGAGAGGCTGGCAGTCCACCAGCAAGGTCCTTGCCAACCCTCATGACTTCCTGTCCTGTGAGACTACCCTGCCCCCTGGAACACAGACTATTCTTGGATCTAGGCCTCCTCCACCTTTCATGGAAGCACTCACCTGCTCAGCCACGGCACTGCTGCAGGCGCAGAGAAGGTGGTGGTGGTTAGTGCAGGCTGAAGACAAGGTGTCATGGGGCCCACCTGCCCCTGGCCCCCGCCCACCCTGCCCCCTCCCTCTGCCCTCCAGGCCGCTGCACTCCAAGGCTGAGCAGCATCTCATGTGCGAGGAGCATGAGGATGAGAAGATCAATATCTACTGCCTGAGCTGTGAAGTGCCCACCTGCTCTCTCTGCAAGGTCTTTGGTGCCCACAAGGACTGCGAGGTGGCCCCACTGCCCACCATTTACAAACGCCAGAAGGTATCAAGCAGGGGAAGGAGCAGGCGTGGGGGCGTGGGGGTGTGGGGCTTAGGACAGGGACTCACATGGCAGCCTCTTACTCCACTTGGTTTTAAAGTCAGGCAGATCAGGGCTAAAGTCCCAGCTCTTTGCTTGACTCGGTGAGTGACCTTGGGTACGTTCCTTAACCTCTCTGGCCTTCATTTTCCTCACGTGTAAAATGGGGATGAAAATACCTACTTCCGAGAGTTGTCAAAAGGATAAAATTAGATAATGGATGAAAGCGGAGACTTCAGTATGGTGGACCGAGATACTCTCAAGGTCCTCTCACTATCACACAACTAGATTCTGCATAAAACAGAATTTTAAAATGACATTTGCTAGCACATAGGAAGGAAAAGGAATCTCCAAGTGGGCGTGGGGTGAGGTGAGGAGTGGAGAATGAGCTGAAAACAGAACCCTGCGTGGCAAACACAGAAAAGGCAGCATTTCCCAGAGGACCGATGCTGGCACTGTCCCTGAGCTAGAAAGTCCGGGGTATGCCTCCAAACCCCTACAAACTAGGGAACCTGCAAGGAAGACTCCCAAGACCCCAGGTTAAACTGGTATCACAAGAACTAAAGCAGTCAGTTGCGCCACTTGGCTTTGACAAAAGAAAATGCAAATTCTGCCTGAAGGAATGTATCTTCAATTTAAGCCCTCAGGTTTATACTTAGATTAAGATCAACAAAATATTAGCTCAAAATTGAAGATACACAAAGAAATGCACTCCATGAGTGAAGTCATCAGAAGCAAAAATTACAAGGAATTCAGATATTGGAATTAAAGAATAGAAAGTCACAATAAATTGAATGCCTTTTTAAAAAGATGGAGGCCAGGCATGATGGCTCTCACTTGTAACTCTAGCAGTTTGGGAGGCTGAGGTGGGAGGATCACTTGGGGCAAGGAGTTTGAGACCAGCCTGGGCAGCATACTGTGACCCTGTCTCTACAAAAAAATTAAAAATTAGCTGGGTGTGGTGGTGTAGGCCTGTAGTCCCAGCTGCTTGTAAGACTGGGCCAGGAGGATCACTTGAGCCCCAGAGTTTGACGTTGCAGTGAGCTATGATCATGCCGCAGCACTCCCCCAGCCTGGGCAACAGAGTGAAACCCTGTCTCTAAAAAAAGATGGAATAGGCCGGGCCTGATGGCTCACGCCTGTAATCCTAGCTCTCTGGGAGGCCGAGGTGGGTGGATTATTTGAGCTCAGGAGTTCGAAACCAGCCTGAGCAAGAGCGAGACCCCGTCTCTACTAAAAATAGAAAGAAATTAATTGGACAACTAAAAATACATAGAAAAAATTAGCTAGGCATGGTGGCGCATGCCTGTAGTCCCAGCTACTCGGGAGGCTGAGGCAGAAGGATCGCTTGAGCCCAGGAGTTTGAGGTTGCTGTGAGCTAGGATGATGCCATGGCACTCTAGCCCGGGCAACACAGTGAGACTCTGTCTCAAAAAAAAAAAAAAAGATGGAATAAAAAATCCAAGCAATTATAGAATATCAAAAACCACCATGCAGATTTGACAAAGAACCAAATAGAGTTTTTAGAAATGAAAGTATAATTGTTGAATTAAAATATTCAATGGTATGCTGTCTCTAAAATCCAAAAAAGAAAAAGAAAAAAATTTTAAGAAACATTCAACAGATGAATTAAATGACAGATTTCTCTGAAGAGAGAATTAGTGAACAGGACAAGTGAACTGGAAAAAAACCCAGAATGCAGCACTGGGAGATGAGAAAGTCTAACATAAGTCTAATGAGATTCCCGGAACAAGAACATAAAGAGAATGGAGAAAAAGCAATATTATGAGAATGGATAATCACTAAGAATTTTTCAGAATCGATAGAAGACATGAATCTACAAATAACGCATCTAGCCCAGTACCTGGCATTTAGGGGATGTTTGGAGATGTCTGTTCCTTCCCCATTTGATGGTGGAGGGTTTCTTCTCTCCACCTCCTTCCAGAATCTATAAAACATGCTTCCGTACTTTCTGGATCATTCCAAACCCTCTAGATCTCTGAAGATGCCCTGATGCGGGGGGGTGGGACGAAGGGGGAATCCTCTCTTAGGCAGCCTTGGCTGGGGTGAGGGGTGCAGCTCTAGACCAGGAGCTCCAGCTCTAAGCACTGACCTGTGTGTGTGGCAGAGTGAGCTCAGCGATGGCATCGCGATGCTAGTGGCCGGCAATGACCGTGTGCAAGCAGTGATCACGCAGATGGAGGAGGTGTGCCAGACCATTGAGGTGAGCCTGGGCTGGGAGAGAGGGGGAACAGAGACTGGCTGGGCTGGAGACCCAGGCTCCCAACACACCTACTCCTCTCTGACTTCTGGCCAAACTAGTCAGAAAGTTTTTGGGCTCCTGGGAGTGGTGGGATGTGCTTGGCCAGGTTCCTGGGTTTGAATCCCTGCTCTGCTGCTCTGTGCTTGGTTCAGTTACTTAACTTCTCTGTGATTTTGTTTGTTTTTAACTACATAAAATAGTGATGATAATAATATAGTCGTTACCTCATGAGGTCTTTTTGAGAATTAAATGGAATAATGCAAGTGAAAACCAGGGCCAGGGCTATAGACACTCATTGAAGCTACTTTATTTATTTTTTATTTTTATTTCTTGAGACAGAGTCTCACTCTGTTGCCTGGGCTAGAGTGCCACGGCTTCAGCCTAGCTCACAGCAACCTCAAACTCCTGGGCTCAAGGGATCCTACTGCTTCCTGAGTAGCTGGGACTACAGGCATGCACCACCATGCCCGGCTAATTTTTTTTACGTATATATTTTAGTTGTCCACCTAATTTCTTTCTATTTTTTCAGTAGAGACAGGGTCTTGCTCTTGCTCAGGCTGGTCTCGAACTCCTGAGCTCAAACGATCCACCTGCCTTGGCCTCCCACGGTGCTAGGATTACAGGCGGGAGCCACCGCGCCCGGCCAAGTGAAGCTACTTTAAAATACCATGTTCTTATTATGGAAAAGATCTGGGCTGGATTCTGGCTCTGTCACTAACTCACGGTGTAACCATGGACGGGTCACTTTCCTTCTTGGCTCTCTGTGAGTTCCATTAAGTGAAGAGCCCGACATGTACCTGGCGCTCTCTGGGGCCTCAGCCGCGCCTTCTCTCTTCTCTCATCCCTGCTCGGGTTTTTCAGGACAACAGCCGGAGGCAGAAGCAGTTGTTAAACCAGAGGTTCGAGACCTTGTGCGCCGTGCTGGAGGAGCGCAAGGGTGAGCTGCTGCAAGCGCTAGCCCGGGAGCAGGAGGAGAAGCTGCAGCGCGTCCGCGGCCTCATCCGTCAGTACGGAGACCACCTGGAGGCCTCCTCTAAGCTGGTGGAGTCCGCCATCCAGTCCATGGAGGAGCCGCAGATGGCGCTCTACCTCCAGGTGGGCCCTGGGGGAGGGCGGGGACTCCGCACGGTGCCTGGAGTCAGGGCCTTGGCACCTGGAGACCCAAGTTCAAGTCTTGTCTCTTGCACCTACTTGCCCCCACCACCTTGGGCAAGTCACCCCCTCTGAGTTCGTTTTCTCCTTAACGACTGGGCTGTGCATCCCCACCTACCCCGCAGGACGGTGGTGAGAATCAGAAATGGGACCTTGCCGGGGTTGGCCCAGTGCTTACTCTCACCCTCCTTTTCTCCCCTGCAGCAGGCCAAGGAGCTGATCAATAAGTGAGTAGGCAGAGCGGGAAGGGAGACGAAGGGGGCGCGCAGCCCCACTGCTCGGGGAGGGGCTTGAGGGTGCTGGGGCGTGGCCAGCCTAGCCGCTGTGGCCACCGCAGGGTCGGGGCAATGTCGAAGGTGGAGTTGGCAGGACGGCCAGAGCGAGGCTATGAGAGCATGGACAAGTTCACCGTGAGCGTGGAGCACGTGGCCGAAATGCTGAGGACCATCGACTTCCTGCCGGGTGAGGGGCGCAGGAGGGAGGGAAGGAGAGAAGGAGGGAGGGCGGCGGGGCGCTCAGACCCTCGGGGTTGGGGTGAGGCGGCCTGGCGGCCGGAAGGGTAAGGACTTCACCCTACGTGGCCTTCCTTCGGCCCAGGCGCTTCCGGGGAGGAAGAGGATGAGGAGGCGGCGTTGGACCGCGACGAGGGCAGCGCAGCGCAGGAGGAAGAGCGGCCGGACGGGCCGTAAGGTGAGAGTGGCCCGAGGGGCTTGGGGCGGGTCCTGGCTGGCACGCTCGGTCCCCTCCTCGGCTATTGCCTCCCCTGTGGCACCCGAGGTTGCGTGGAGCCCCTACTCCTTTTAAGTGCCCCCCAAGCCCCAGCGCCACAAAGGAGCGCCCCCTAGGGCGTGTGAAAGGGCACTTGCGTTTGCACCGGCCGTTCCTCTGGGGTTTGGGGAGACCAGGTTGGGTCGGCCAGTAGAGGAGAAACCCACGTGGCGGTGGAAAGGGAGGCAGACGGGGTTCGGGGCTGTCTTGCTCCTTTGGAGCACCCGCCCACTGAGCTTTCTTTCCCGGGCACAGGCCTGCACTGACCCGACCGCCGTCGAGGAGCGGGGCCTGGCGCTAGGGCAGTGCAGGATCTGCGGAGACCACCGCACCACCCAGCTTGGCGCCCCGCCCCGCGGGAGGGCTCAATAAAGGACTCCTGCGTCTCAGACCCGTATCTCCTTTCGCTGCCCACTTCCACAGCTTCCGCTTGGGTGGCGACCCCGCCACCATCCCGCCCTCCCTGGAACCTGAGACCATTTGGGGGTGGAAGTGAAATTAACCTCTGTTGGACACCTCCTTGTTGCCAGGGGCAGACTCGTGAGCCCAGTGCCCTGGGAAGAGGACCGAGAGTGGTGCGGCAGTGCCGGGACCTCTGCGTTCCTGGGGACTTGGGGAGCGATGGGGCCCACAGGAACCTGGCTGAAAGCCGTCCTCCCGGACGGACCTTCTACCCCCACCCCCAGCCCCGCTCCTTGCAGCATCTCGTTCCGTCCCGCTGGCCTGGGAGGCCCCCATTTCCCAAGGGTTCCCACCCTGCTATGACTGCCGCGCCCCCACGACAGAAGCCAAAGGCTCTTCAGCACGTTTATTAAAAAATAGCCACGCAGAGTGCTCGGGGTGTCCCTGGGCCGCTCTGCCCCTGGGACTGGATCAGTTCCGGTAGCTCATGTCCCAGCCCCGGGGTAGGAGAAGGGGTCAAAGTTTTCGTGGTCCCAAACCGGGCCGATCACTTGCCCACCGAGTCGAATATGATGCGGTTCTGCTCGGCGCGCTCCCTCTGGCTCTGCGTCCGCGACAGCTCCAGCAGGGTCCGCAGCAGGTGGAAGGTGAGGTCAATGGACAGTGGAGGGTTGTCCCGTCGCAGCCGCTCGCCTGCGGTCGCGGATCCCCATCCGCCCGGCCCGCCGCGGCGCGGGAAGCGCTCCGCCAGCAGCAAGAGGAGCGCGCGGGCCCCGCCGCCCTGGGTCCGCGCCCGCGGGCTCCATCGCAGACTCGGGTCTTGGACCCCGGCCGCTGCCGCTGCAGCCTCCGGGCTCCACTGGCTGCTGCCGGGGCGCAGCTGTGCCAGAAGCAGCAGCGCCGCCAGCAGCGCCGCGCGCCCCGCCTGCCTCATGGTGCCGCCGGCCCTGGACAGGGGCAGCGCAGGGTGAGGCGCGCCTGGGGCAGCCGCAGGGGGTGCACTCCCCGTCCCGCGCACGCCCAGCGCCCCCGCCGGGCCTCTCCGGCAACCGCTGGCTGCCCACAGCCTGCCCTCCAGCCCCAGCCCCTGCTCCAGTCCTGTTCCACCCCTTCCACCCACCGTCCCTCCCGGCAGGTCGCAGTGGGTGAGCTGCGCAGAGTCCTGGTGCCCAGGGAGTCTGGGCGAACGCCCTGAGCCACTCACAGGTTGTCGGAGACCGCCTCTACGGCGCAAGACGGAGCTCCAATCTCTGTCCCTCGGGGCGGGCCGAGGGCGCCTTGGGGAACACGGGGTCTGTCCCGGGACTGTCGCCAGCCTTATATAGCGGCAGGACAGCTCCGACTGACGTCAGCGAAGAACATGAAATGATTGTAGAAGCAATGAGTCTGGCGGCTTGCAAGCCCTCGGAGGAGCGCACCTCCGGACACTAGACTTCGTGTCCCTGGGGCTAGCGCTGGAAGTAGCATTGGACTCAGGAAAGCAAGAAGCCGGCTGGGGCGTAAAGATTGCTCTGGGACCCACGAGAGCCCTCTGCCCCGCTTAGAACAGCCATTAGTGACTAGGGCCAGTCCCCCCAGACCAGACTAGTCCTGGGTCGCTTATTCTATGGCACACCTAAGGGAGACGGGCCCGTGGGGCTGTCCATGGTGCTGACCCTGTCCTCTATCTCTAGAAGGGGCCAGAGGCGTTGTGTACGGCTCAAACTCACTCCCTAGCCCCAACTATCAGTTCCGCAAACTGAGGCAATCAGGAGCACGCCGCTGGCACTCGGCCAACACTGTGAGACCCACCAAGAGGCGGGGGTCTGCCACAGCCAAACTTTCCCAGGATTCTTTTTATTTTAGTTCTTTTTTTTTACAACCTACAGAACTAGACCATGAAAGGATTCTTGATCTTTTTCCAGCTCTAGGGTCCAAGTTCTGGGGCTGACTGAGGCACCATATAAAAGAGGGTCTTTGGCCTCAGGGTGTTTTAAGACCCCAAAAAGCGCCTTCTGCTTCTGAGTTTGCCCAGAGTGGTAGCTTAGCAAAGTTCAGATTTTCTCCTGGTAGTCCCAGCAGCAGTAGTATTATGCCTATGACCTTCAGGTTAGGATTACTGGGTAGGAAGTAAGGAAACTTGGGCTCAAGTTTTCACTCTGCCACTAACTCCTGGTGTGGACAGGTCACCTCCCTTCTATGGACCTCAGTGACCTTGTTTGTAAAAGATTCGGCTTGGTGGTCTCTAGGCTTCTTTCCAGCTCTAGAAATGTTGACTCTCCAGTAGTTTTCTGTTTGAAAACTTACTCATTACCTCTGCAGCTTCCAGATCACATGTTTAATAACATATTTACTAAGGCACCATATAAAGGTGCACCATATAAAGGGTTTGAGGGGGGTCCCCAAAGAGGTGGAGCGACACTAGCACTGGGCAGGGTTAGGGTAAGAGATGTGTCTATGAATAGTGGGAACAAGTGGCATTTGATAGGATCTGAGTGTAAAGTTGATGAGGTCATAAGGTTCAGCAGATATTTATGGAGTGCCTAGTATGTGGTGGGAATAAGACTGTGATAAGGTTTTAGTGATTTCAAAAGCCGTAAGTTTACATTCCAGTAAGTTTAGCATTGCAGGGTGCTAACAAGATCTGACCAGCAACCCAACCCCATGGAAACTGACGTGCCCACTCTGAGGAGGTTGTCTGACCATCCAAGGTCAAGGTGCATCCCTGCAAGGTGGAAATGATTAAGCGAGGCAGACTTAGAACTGATGAGCCTTCCAGGACAGGTAGGAATTCCAGATAACAGCAACACACTGGACAACGGCCAACCTAAGGGACAGGAATAGCACGGTGAGGAGGAGGAGGAGCAAGCTTAGGGGTAGGGATGGGAAAGTGCAGTGGGAGAGGGGTTATCTCAGAGAACATCCAGACTTAGGTCTCCTTCCTCTAGCACTTATGGAGGGACTATGGCTCGGACCAGAGGACAACCAGCTCACATTCTGGTGCCACACCAGAGCTCTGTCTCCTGATGAGACACATAGGTTAAATACCCTCAGCAGCTCTCTTGCCATGCATGGCTGTTCTTCATACCCCTGTCCAGGCCCCTTCTAAATACATTTATCTGTCTTGTACCCGCTGAGGAGATTTCATCTTCCATAATGATATACGGAGCAGCGCCTCCTTTTCTTTATTTTAAATTAACCTTGCTCTAGTTTCTAAGAGTGTTGCAAAGGATCCTAATGTTTAGGATTTGGTTCATAAGTCTGTGTTCCTTTTAGCTATGCTATTCATGTAAATTTTGGCCATGTCCCCTCTGAAGAGTTTCATATTTCCCTGTCCCCTCTGAACATGTTAACCACTCATCTTGAGTTCCACTACAGTTTTTATTGTGGTTCAGCAGCTACCTTTATTGTGAGGGTAAAATAACGCTTTGCAGTGAACTAACCTGGCCAGGCTCCTACTGGCTTTTTGGTCTACCTTTCTGCCTAACCTAGGCTGCAGCACCCCAGGCACTGTCCCTGCAGAGAGGCCATCAAAGGCGGTGAGCTCAGGTGGGATGGAGACAAGGGTTGTAGGAGCAAGACCCTCCCTAGGAAGATGGGAGAACGTCAGTGGGCAGACACTCTGGGACAGTTTCTGTAAAGGGTGAGAAGTTCAGAATAAAATGCTTGGGAGTCTGAGGAGCTCTGAGCAGGGCACAGTGTTCTGACTGGGGATCTAAAGTGGCTCAAGATTGAAATGAGAATCCTTTTGTCTCCAGCTTTTGGTAATGTGGATCTTCCTTGATGTGTGGGGTAGAGATCTGTCATACCTGTAATGAAGGGGGACCAAGTAGAAGTTGGCTAACTGCACGGCAGGCCAGAGCTACAAGAGAGAGAAGGTAAAGGTTGGATGGCGGCCCCACCACCTGACTACAGACTCACCACCTTGCCTGGCCCTACCCCAACTTCTGCACACAAGACAAAGCTGCAAAACTGGGCAAGGGCTTCCCTGAGTATGGTGCCCACACTGGGAATGAGAGAATAATCCCAACAGAATAATCCCTCCCTATGTCAGGAGGACCCCCAATCCCAGGGCATTTCTGGGCTTAAGGAAGCAGGAGACCAGGCAGTTGAGGTGTCAGCTCTTACATAGTAGTTGGTGATGAGGGCATCAGGATAATCCTGAGGAGAGACAGAAGAACAATGAACACGTGCACCTCCAAGCAGCTCCCATGTGAACATCTCACACAGACTTCTGTTCACAGAGCACCCTCCTGCACCACTCCCCTCAGCGCCTCCCTCCACGGCCTGGATTCTACCTGCACTGCCCCCTTTTCATCCCCATGAAGCCGGTCTCCTTCCCCTGGGCTGCCAACCTGCCAGCCAGAGACCATCCCCACACCAGCCCAGCTCACCCGCTGGAGTTTGGCCCAGTTTTCCTGGGCCGACAGTCCGTTGAGTGTCCCTACCAGTGGGAGGAAGCAGCCTAGAAAACATGGGGCAAAGCCTCCCTAGGAAAGAGATGGTAAAGCTCTGTGAGTGCCTAAGCCCCCACCTCCCCCAACACAGCTTCGCCTTCCTGACTCCCTTTTCCTTCTGCTCACCTGATCCAACAACATCTTCTTTAGTGCATCCACCTTGGTGGTGCCGGGGATGAACCGATCCAAAACCTTGTACCAGCCTCCTATTACGGGGCCCTGAAAGTAAACCCCAGGCAGGGGGCAGTCTGCAGGGAGGAGAGCACTGGACTTTTACATCACCAAGCTCCTCCCTCAAGTATCAGAAAACAAATCCCAGGGGAAGCAGACACTAAGACAGAAGAGGGCAGCAGGTTGGCTTAGGCGTGAAAAGGAAACTGAAGGATGACTTAGAACTAAGACCACTGTCCAATCCTCTGAAGCCCCACTGTGGGCAGAACTTACCACAAAGCCACAGCCCAGGGATACCATGGTCAGGGTCCGGCCCGTCTGGTGTTCCCGCAGACCCCGCTTCTCCACCAGCTGCTGTGAGATAATGTCACCTAGGCCCATCAGGGACCCTGTGCAGGGTACACAGGTATTGGTCAGGACATCTCTTGAGGATGGGCTAGCATTCCAAGGAGGAAGGGAGGTTTGTTGGGTGAATGAGGCTCTGGCACTCTGAGCCCCAGGGCTTCATTCTGGAGACAAATGGCCAGTCCCTTCTTGCTGCCTCAAAGCCTTCTTCTCCCTAAGGATGGTGACAGCTCATGTGTATCCATTCTGTCAGAAACCAGGATGAGCAGGCCAGGGCCCAGGAACTCTCCACTGAGCAGTAAAAGGAAGTCAGAATCAGAAGCTGCAGATAGAAGGAGAACCTAAGGTTCCAGGGCTGAGATCCACAGGCTATCAGAATCGAAAGGGTTTGCCAATTTAATCCAAACCCCTTATTTTAGAAGCGTGGAAACAAAGGTCCAGGATCTCACATAACTAGTAAGTGCAGTGCCAAAGCAAGAACCAGGTGCCTTGCTTCCCAGGCACTGTTCTTTCCAGGATGCGGCACTATGAATAGATCATGTGTAGATGGTAGGGAACTCTGTCCTTCTTCCCCCAGCCCTGATGCAAGCCCCTGGCCAATGTCCTTCACCTTGGTCTTAAGGTCTCGGTTCATGGGGAACAACAAGAATAACTCTTTTTCTAGGACAAGAGTGCTCAAATGGCCCCAGGCAGGAAGATGGCTGGTCGAGCTGGTAAGGCTCCCCACAAAGAAGAGTCCTGGTCACCTCTTACCATGATCAGCTAAACCCAGACTTTCCCATTCATTACCTCAGATTGAGCAGGCAATGAGTACAGTAGCCATTTCCGCCAGGCCTCTTCCCCTGCTTCCCCTCCCCTAATTGCACAGACACCCAGCTCCAAGCAGCCCTAGTAAGACACCCACATTTAGAAACCAAGTCAGAAGTCATCACTATTTACAGAGCTCCTTGTCAGTTATGGTGGCGTGATGGTTTCTAGCAAACATACACTTACGGGGCTGCTTGGGAGTGACCGTGTGATCTCCAGCTCGTCTGTCTATCTCACTGAGTAATGAGAGCCCCTGCTCCAGCTCCGCAGCCACCACGGGCCCTGTGCCCTCAATTAGCACTGGGCAAACACATCCTGCAACCCCATTCCTTGGCCCGGAGCTGGCTCTGACGTCCATGCTGACTGCACACTCACTGCTCTGCTCTTCCTCCACACCCTCTGCACAGCCCTGCCCTGAGTAGCCTAGTCAGAAGCAGCTGGGTAAGGCTGGGAGATAGGGCTGGGTGCCCCTAAGTGACCAGGGCTGCTGGCCACAGAGAAGCTCTAGGGACCCCCCCCGGCACACCATCAAGGCAGCTCTTCCTCACCTTTCCCTGAAACTCCCAGAGTGGTGGGGCTCTTCCCCGAACACCATCAGACATGACCTCCCGGAGGGCAAGGACAGAATTCTAGATACCTCTGTTCTCCTGTCCCCCACCATACCTAACCAAGCCCCTGGCAGGCGCCCAGAAAATAAACAAAGGAAAAATGTCAAATGTACTGCTCCAAACAACAGGACTGTTCTGAGAAAGGGCATGAAGAACTCTTAAGTCTAGCCCAAAGGACCAGGTCAGACTCAAGGGGTAAGGACCTCAGAGAACTGGAGGCTTGCTCCCCCAGCCCCAGGCAGTTAGCTCTTAATTCCCTGTCCCTCGTCTCTCACACTGTGGGGTCACTGGCTGCGCTGGCAGGAAGAAGAGGGAGCTGCTGCAGCCATGCAAGAAGGGAAGAGTGATCCTGAGAAGGCCAGGGGATAGTGGAGCAGGAAAAGCAGTCGCTTCTTAAATGAAAGGCCTAACAGTGTGACAGTCTACTCTGGCAAGATGTTCACAGTTTGCACAGGGCTCTCACACACTTAATCTTCACAAAAGGTCTGGGAGGTAGGTGGTCACACCTCCATCTAATGATAAGGAAAGAGTCTTTGAGAGATGAGGTGACTCGGTAGGGAGTGGAGTTGGGACCAAGCCCAGGTCTTTCTCAAGGAGGAATAAGGAGGCAGCGGGCACCAAGAGGCTCCTGCGCCTGCCCCTCTGCAGGGGTTTCCTGCCAGGGCAAGGCCCCAAAGGGCCCACATATCAAAGATACTTCCTGGCCTAATGCATTTCCTCTCTGTCTTTACTCCTCAGAATTCTGTCACCTCTGTTCTTGGTTACCTCGTGGGGAGGGCAGGCAGCAATATTTCTGGGAAAGAAACAGTCAAAGAGAGTTGTGTGTTTTTACGATTCACAACTTGCCGACAGTCACACAAGCTAAAAGCAGAGCTGAAATGAAAACTCAGGTCCCTGACTTCTAGCCCCATAGTCCCAGAAGCCTGCAGCCTTTGAGAAAGATGGATTCTAGGCCCCCAAACATCAAGCCTGAGGGACTACCAAGAGACAGGGCAGCCGCAGAGTAAGTGGTGTGCAGCTCTGTGGCCCCTGCCAGTTTTGTTAATTTCAGACATAGCAGTGCCCAGAAGTTCTTTCTCTGCCCACAGATGATCAGGCTCCTGGACCTACTGAAACTCCAGGGTGGTCTAAGTCTTTGGTCCAAGCACAGAGCAAGGCCTGCTTCTCTGGTCGAAGTGATCCTTGTGAGCAGGAAGGGCTCAGACATTCAGATTCCTCATCCCACCTGCCCTGACCCAGAGCCCAAACAGACCAAACCACCTCCGGGAGATCTCCTGCACATATCTGGTTGGTCTGGATCTTCCAGTGCTCTAGCTCCCATCTCCTTGGACTTGTTTCCAGGGAGTTGGGGCTGGAGGCCTGCAGACATATGATGCCCAGATCCCTGATGGGGCAGGGCGAGGGGCTGCTGGGCAGCAAGGCCCAATGACAAGGCTGGGCATGGAGCCCAGTGAGCAGACACTGGCGCAGGTGTGACATCATGCCCCTGGGTAGGTGCCAGTTCTCATGCCGTCACTCCCTACCAGATCCAGGGGCCAGGAGGAGGGGAGCCTGCCTCTGAGCACCGACTGATTTGGGACCACCTCCTGCCCACTAGTGGAAAAGCCCCAACTCCCACACCCTCTTTCCAGGCATGGGTGGGAGTAGATTCCCTATTTCTCCTATGTTGTTCCTCTCCTGGCTTTTGCGTAGAGTCTTATGTACAAGAAAATAAAGCGTTAATGGTACAGGGTAGGAAGTAGCTTCTTGGAACGAGGAGAGGAAGTGTGTCCTTGAGTACAGGAGGCCTAGGTCAGCAGGTATAGCTGCTGGCATGGGGCCAGCAGTGCTGCCATTCTTCTCTAAAATCTCCAACCATTAACTAGCTGCCTGGGGTAGGGACTTGGTCTGGCACAGAGCCTAGAGGGAGCTGAAGCCCAGCAGTAGGAGGGGAGAGTGCATCCTCTGGGATTGGTCTGAATGCTCCCTCCATTCCTGGCCTGAACCCATCCCACTGCTAGAAAATGAGACAAAATGGTTTTGCAGCTAGTCAGGTATCTGAGCTCAGACCAGCTGGGGCTGCACTCAGCATTCGGAGGCCTGAATCGTCTCAAATGCAAGGCAGTGCCCTAGGTTCTAATGCCAGCTCTAACACTAACCATGTGAGACGCGCTGCATGTCATTCCCCCATTTGCCTCAGTTTCCTTCTCTGTAGTATCAGGGGTTGGACCGGACGCTGTAAGGCCTGTTGAGCCCTCACATCCTGGCTTAATTCAGATTCCAGGGAAACCAGTGTCTGCAGGAGCTCAGCTGCTCCCATAGCAGGACCATGGTGGCCTAAGATGGATGGAGCTGGGCCCTGGGCCCACTGGAGACTGAAAGGGCCCTCGAGAAAGGAAGGAATAAGGCTGACTCACACTCTCCACAGAACATGCAGCAGACCTTTCCCCAGGCTGCCCTGTTCCTGATGCTAGCTTGGCCAGAAGTGGTTTATCAGGCACTTACTGCAGTTCAACCTGATAGAACCTTGCTTCAGGCCTATGCCATACCGGGGGCTTTGTGTTGATGTCTTCAGTGACAATGCATGTGCAAGCTGGTAGTGGAGGGGAGTTAACATCCCATGGAGTGAACCTCTCACCAATGTGGGATGGAAGCTGGTGGATAAAGGTCTCTTCTTTTCTCCAAAAATGACTATTCATCCAGACAGTCCTAGGAAGCATTTCAAAGAGCTTCTCAGTCAGTTAGTTCCAAGAGACTGAGCAACCAGTTGCCCTTAGCAGTGGCCAGTTTGATAACGCATCCTTATACTGGCTTTCCCTCTTTCCCTCCATGGGATTATGTCCTATTTCCTAACAAAGTATTTTCACATAAGCTGCAGGCTGTGCTATAACAGTTATCCATGTTCAGACTTGTGGCAAGTGGAACAAACCCAATCCAAACACCACTATAAAAAGAATAGCTTATTTTGTCTATGTTGCCAACAGTCATAGAAAAAGCCAACCCCTTGAGCATTTATGTTTACTGAGCATTTTTTTATTTCCAAAGCTGTTTCACAGAGATAATCCCTATACTGACCCTGTTAAGACATATAACTAAACTCAAGTTCTAAATTAGGAAGCTGAGGCCCAAAGAGGTTTACTCACTTGTCCTGATTAATGCAGCTACTAAGTGCTATGGCTCTGAGATTCAAATCTTGGTCTTCTAACTCCAAGTCTGAAATCTCTGTTCTGTTTTACAGTATAATGAGTGATCCCATGGGACCTTAGGAACTACTGTGTTGGGGCCCCAAAATGGCTCAGTGAGCTAATTCCATTTCCCCCCTTTATTTGTAGTTTGATCCAAATACACTGGACTGTAGGGAAGAAAAAGTCTGAAAGGTCTGGAAAAGTATGAGAAGAGTACTCAGGGGCTACAGGTTGTTTCAGGGCAGAGCTGGGATATGGGCACAGCCTCAGGAAGATTCAGGATATGGAGCCAAAGGGCTCTAGCACCAACAGACCAGAACCCCAGTTCAGCCACGTCTGCACCCGAGCCCCTTGGAGTTCTAGTTTCTGCACCTGTCGGCTGCAGATCCCTTGGGTAGGGAAATACAAGGACTGTCTTTCCCTCCCTATTCTTGACAGCCACGAGGGGGAACCTTCCATCTGGCAGTTACGGGCCCTGAGGGAATCTAAAGCTGGGCAAAGGGCCCAGCGTGTCAGTTCCCATCACAGCCACACTGTCCAGCATGAGTCACCATACACGCAGCCAGGTTGAGTCATACGGGCTGACGGACACTCTGAGGACAGGACAAGAGGTGGTTGGGCACCGGACGCTGGAGAGGGGCCCAAGGTAGGGTAAAAGAGTCCATCTCCAGGCCATTCATGTAGTGGAGTTTCTAGTGAAGCAGGACTATTGTGGTAATAGGATCCCTGTTCCACTCTAGCTGTCAGTAATTCCCAATCCCTTCCAACAGTCCTCTTCTCAGAAGCCCATAGTCCTCATTAGAATCCCATTCCCTTCCTCTAAACATAGGTAAGACCCCATCTTAACCTGATTGCCCTTTGCACTACCCTGATGGTCCTTCTAATCCTTCCCCAAGACTTACTCATCCCCATGCCACCCCTTTACATTAGCCAATGTGCAAAATGAAGATGGTAACAAATGCAGGTAAGTCACTACATTACCTCTGTGAGGTTGCTATTCAATTACTGAATTTGGAGTAAAAAAACTTTGGTTAGTATATTGTTTAGGGATACATACATAGGTAGTAAACTATTAGAAAAGAATGATATAAATAAAACTCAGGAAAGTGGTAATCTCTTAAGGTGAGGTGTTCAAGGGATCTCAAAGCTGGGTACTGATACAGGAGTGTTCAGTTTTAATACACATCTTAATCATTCTTTTGTATATTTCACAATAAAAAATACTAAGAAAAACAAACAGGTCAGAGTCTTGATTCAGCATGTATTAGGTGTGTGATCTAACGTGGGTTCAAGTAATCCTAGCTCACCCACCTTTGTGGGGTCCCCACAATATAGTGAACATGAAAGTGCTTTGCATATAGAAAATGTTAGAGGAGTGTTTGTTATTGTTAGTTTTCCAAGTTGGGGCCTACTGGAGCAATGCCTTTATCCTTAAAAACTGACTGCTCAGCTTTTTGAGGACTTTCAAATCTTATCTCACAGTTAGGCCAACTATGCATACCCCTTAAAAACAGCCCTGGGGACCCACTCTTCAAAACAGAATGGGGACAGCTTGGGATGTGAGACAGCCAACCCTTCAAGGAGGCTGAAGAGAAGCAGGAAATGAGGGCACTGAGGAGGTGTGAGCCTCTGCCTTCCAAATCAGCCTGCTGCTCTGGTCCCACTCGGGTCCCAGAGGGACACTCACCAGCCGTCAGGACCTGTACTTTCCACGGGTGAGCAGCCAGAGCCCGCTGGTATGCCCGCCAGAGTGCCATGCTTCCTGTCAAGCCAAGAGGAGAGGGTGTCACCACCACTGCCCCTCCTCACAATTACGGAGCTGCCAGACATTCCCTTGTGCCACTCCCTCTCCCACTTTCCACTTCCAATATGTCTTAAACCGGCAGAGGCCAGAGGAGGGATGCTTCTCGGACAACTTCCCGTCACAGGGATCGCCTTAGACAACTGGGGAAGAGAGAAGGGATGTAGGCAGCTATGGACTCCCGGTGGCAGCCACCGACCACCCTACCCCTAGTCCTAAAGCAGGGCCACCTGAAGCCCGTTCCCAACTGAGACACTCATGAGAACAGGCTTGCTCTGGCTTCCACCCAGAGCCTGGGTCCCGGAAAAGTGAGCCTGGTCGGTTTCCAGATTCACACTCTTAGTTGGAATCAGCTCATATCCTTTCTGAGTCCAACTCCACTCCGGAAACAGGTTCCGTCACTGCCCGGGCCTGGAAAGATCACATGCCCTCCGGGCGCTCCTGCAGCGCGACGCTTTGAGCCTGTGACCACGGATCACCTGCCACTCACCTGAGCGCGAGCTCGGCTCGGAGCATCCCCTCTCACGTGACTAGAGCGGGCCCAGGGACTTCCGCTTCAAGCCCCACCCCTTCCGCCCGCTGCCCGCCGTCTTGCGGATCCTTGCAGTCAGGAGAGGAATACGAGTCTACTGAGCCATTAAAACCCGTGGAGAGCTCTGCTTGGTGCACCCACTCTGTGAGCCGCCCTTTCCCAGTTGGACCTTGGTGTGGGGCCCGCCAGCCATACTTCCTCCTGCCCCTTCTCTCCCAGAGGCCCTGAACCTCTCTCAACCGGATGGACTCTCCTTATTCAGCCCACACCCCCTCCCCTGAACTGGCCAAGGTCCTGGCATCCTTCTGTCTCAGGAACCAGTTCGGGAACTAAAAGCAAGTTAAGTGCGTGCGTGGTCTTATGTTTCCAGGTTATTAGCCTCAACTGTGAGTTCCTGAGTGGGTGGGGCTAGGCCTTGTTCTTATTTGTCGTCCTCATAGCAAGTAGTTTAGTGCTTTGCCCAATACAGCCCCTTTAGAAATGCTGCATAAAAATGATTTCCACGGAAAGCACTGGAATTACAGAACCTCTGAAGAGTTTAGGTCTTGTCTCCATACCTAACACTAGTGGTCATCATTAGATTTGAACTTAAGGTTCTCCATCTGTTAAATGAGGGGGTTGCAATATGTTTTTCAAACTGGATTCCTCAGTTCTAGGGGTTTATAAAATGTTTTTGTAGGGGGACAAGAAGGGGAGGCTCACTACAGGTTCTCTCTGCCTCCACTGTTTTTTAAATATATACTTCTAAAAAGAGCCATTTTAAACAAAGGTGCCCACAACTAAGTGTTTGAAAACCAGTATATTAGGTGATTTCTTAATCTCCTTCCAACTCTAATATTCTAAGATTCTGTGAATATAGTACAATATCTTTTCTGGGGCGGTGGAAATTTCTACGCTATCCCTGGCAGTGGATTTGTCAGGCCGGCAGCCTTTGCTTATCTCCAGGGAGCCCACACTTTAGAGGACAGACTCTTACAGGGCTCTCTGCCTACCTAGCTGCAGCCTCAGTTTACTCAATTCCTGTATGATTAAGGCAAGGAGAATCCTGTCACAAATCTTAGTGAAACAAGAGTAAAGAAGCAAGAGAATTCAGTGTCAAAAACATTTAACTAAAAGGCTCCTATATGCAAAACACCATGCTAGAGTCAATTTACACTAGCAAATGTAATAGGAGATCAAATGTGGTAGGTTGTAAAGTTGTATTCTGAAGTTAGACTATCTGGGTTCAAATCCCAGCATCACCACTTAGTAATTAAATGACCTTGTTCAGACTTACCCTCTCTTATCATTAAAATGGCAAAACCTGTGCTCGCTTCGGCAGCACATATACTAAAATGGCAAAACCCACTGGGTACAGTGGTTCATGCCTGTAATCCCAGCACTTTGGAAGGCCAAGGCAGAATGATCACTTGAGGCCAGTTCAAGACCAGCCGGGGCTATTGCTGGTAGTGAGACCTCATCTCTACAAAAAATTAAAAAATTAGCTGGGCATGGTGGTGTGTGCCTGTAGTCCCACCTACTCAGGAGGCTGAGGCAGGAGGATTGCTTCAACCCACGAGTTAGGGGTTGCAGTGAGCAATGATTGTGCCACTGTACTCCAGCCTGGGTGACAGAGTGAGAGCCTGTCTCACAAAAAAAAAAAAAGGCAAATACCCACCTCGTAGGATTAAGTAACAGATGCAAGGTACCTGAAATGGATCAAGTGTTTAATACTTGTTTATCCTCTTTTCCCTTCCACCCCCTTGGGAACACATAGGAGGGACAATATTTTTTACTGATAGAAAACTGGGAAGCTCTTTGGTAAAGGTGGAATTTGAGCTGGCATCTCAAAGGATGAATGGAACTTAGGTGAAGATGGTGGAAAAGGACACTACTGGAGAAGTGAACAGTGTGAGCAAAGGGACAAAGGTAGGGAAGTGCAAGAACCAGTGGATACGCTCTGAGGGAGGGTTGGAAGGGGAGTGGTCTAGGGAGAAAAAGGTTTCTGGTAGAAAAAAAGAGCCAGGTCAAGACTAAGGCTGAGACTCAGCCCTGCTGGAGCAGGGCTGCCAGCACCAATCTATAGCCTCAACAGTGTGGGTCCCCAGATCCCATCTTTTCTACCACTGAAAGTAGGAAAGGGACTGCTATGTAGAATGAGCAAAGCTTCTCTGCAACAGAAGGCACTTCCTTATCAGTCAGCTCAAAAAACAAAACTGGCTCAATGTGAGGTGGATCAGAATAGGGCAGCACAACACACAGCTCCTTTGCATGGACACGGGTCGTAGTCCCTCTGCTGATGGACCTGGGTTTCCTCCAGGTCTGTTTCCTTGTCTGTACAGGATAGGCACTGCACTTCTTGATTCCCTTCTTCTTAAAGGAGATGTTCTGATATATTATAAAGTCCCTACTCTAGAGAGGTAGAAAGCTGTTCCTAGATATTTAGCCAGTTGAGAGTACCAAAGGGTTTTGTTCCAGGTATCTCCACTCCCTCCAATAGGAGCTGGCTGCCTATTTTCCTCTATTTCCTGAGGTCCTCTATTTCCCTCCAAACCCCAGCCTGTACTCCTACACGTTCCAAGGTGATTTGCCTTTTTCTCATTGCTGGGGTCTGTCCTTGCTTAGGAGGCAGTATCATCGTCACTGAGTCTGCAGCATCCCACAAGAGGACTCTAACAAGATGAGATAAAACAATACATTACTGCACTTGGGTTCTAAACACCTCCTATATTTAAATAAAGTAGCTAAACATGTTTAATAAGTCAACAATGTGACAGTATCATGAAGGATCAAAAATTATGTGTAAAAGAATGGTTGAAGTAACTGAAGATATTTAATCTAGAGAAGATAAGATTTGGGAAGCACATGATAGCTATTGTTAAATAATTAAAAGGGCAATCACAGGGAATCATGACTAGATTTCCTAACATCCATGAGTAAAATTTATAGAGGTATACTCTCTGACTTGATATAAAGGAAGATTTTTAAAAACATGACTGTTTAGGTGTGTTCAAGTAGGGTCATATGACCAGTGATTGGGAGTATTTCATAAGCAGGGGCAGGTAAGATCTGAGCCACTGTTCTGTTGGTAGGGTGTCTGTGGTGTTCCTCAGTTAAAGAAGTACTATAAGCAACTCAGTCCAATAAATTACTGTCACCCCTCTTGGGCTTGTGTTGGTTACGCTAATGAAGAAGTTTGGGAAGTTTGCATCCTGGAATAGTCAGACAGGAGCTTTCCTGAAGATACCCTTTTCAATTCTCCAAACATCCACTCACAAGTGGTCTCAAAAACACCCAGTACCTTTACTTAGCTTTACCTACTCAACAATATGCTCAATATGAGCAGTTTGACTCCCAAGCCTAGGTCAGGCCTAAGTGTTTCTCGTGAGCCAAAGTCTTAGGCTGAGGAGCCTTGAGAATTTGTGGAGGGAGAGCCCCCTTGCCTGCAGGGGTCTGTGATCACAGAAGTCTGTGGTAGGAGAGGGATCTAAGGAGTCCTGGGGAGGCAGGCCTAAAGGTCCAGGCCTGGCAGCATCACTGTCCAGGAAAGCCCCAGATCCTATGGCTCTGTGCATGGGAGCCTTTTGTTCTTGGCAGACTTCATTCCAGGGGTCCTGTGTGGCCCAAGACTAGGGATTGGGCAGAAGGTGATGGCTGGTTGGAGAGAAGCCAGGCCGTCTAGTGGGGGAGGATGGCTGGAACATAGCACTGAAGTGGGCGCGGCTTTCAAGCTGCATACGGTGGCCCAGTGGGGAGGTGAGTCCACGGACAAAATGGATTCGAACCAGCCCCGACTGCCCCCCAGATACCAGCCATCCATATGAGTCCAGGTTTGGGCTGAAACGTACCTGTGAAGAGGAAACAAAAGAGAGATGCTCACGGGTGGTGCCTTAAGGTGACTCTTAGCTGTAAAAGCAAAAAGAGGGGTCACAATCTGAAAGGATAGGACCACGATGGGGTGAGAGAGGTAAGAATGAGAAGCCAGTGAGGTATGTCTATCATGCTCATCAGTTACCACAGCTGTTTTCCCTACTTAGCTATTTATGTTACCTTTTCATCTCCCATTTCCATTTCATCGATTGCAGGCCCAGAGTTAGGGGAAAATGAGAGTGGAGGGTGGAGAAGATGAGAGACTACCTTATGAATAGCCTCGAGCTGCAGCCTGTCCAGGCAAAGTTGAGAATGCCCCTCTCCCTCCTGCATGCGCAGCATTGGTTCTCTATGGAGCAGATCGTGGAATGTACCCTGGGGAGGGGAAGTAGAATAGGACAGAGAATGTGAGCATCTCCTTAGTTTTGCATCTTTATGCTGGAACTCAGGATTCCTACTATACAAGGACTAAAGTTTTCTACCTTTTCTAGTATCACACCCAATTCTCCTGGCCTCAACTTACCAAATCTGTGTCTTGAAAGAGCAAGTAGTGATGATTGACAGTTTCAGCATAAGTTCGAGCCTTGGGAGGGTTGGGGGCCCCAGAAGCAGAAAAGTGGTCTTGACCTTCCAGACTGTCCTGATAGGGCATTAGATCTGCTTTATAGATGGGCTAGAAAGGAGACCATGAGTTTAGGTTCTATAGTACTAAAGACAGAATAAAAGCAAAGAGAGAAGAAACTGGTTTTGGGCAGGAAAGACTTAAAGATGGAAGAAAGTAATGTTTAAATATATTAAATGTATACTCAGATACAACAGGGTAGGGAAGATTATACACAACTCAGTGCCAAGACTTTCAGGGACAGTATCAGGGCTGGGAGACCTAGTACTAATTTGTACTCTACCAGGAGTTGGGAGAGCATGTGGATTAGGATCCAACAGCTGCCGTTAGATGTTCATATACGTACAAATCTTCGCTCTATAGGTCGCTTGACATTTATTGGGTTCAGTGCCATATCGGGCAATATAGCAGCAATGAGCTCCCCGGATATATCTCCTGCGGCTATTGTCCCAAGCCAGTCGGATCCTGAAAGACTCTAATCAGAAGAGACAGATTTC